AGCCTTAGCGGCTGGTTCGTACCGCTGGTACCCCACGGCCTTAGCAGCTGGTTCGTACCGCTGGTACCCCGGAGCCTTGGCAGCTGGTTTCGTACCGCTGGTACCCCACAGCCCTAGCAGCTGGTTCGTACCGCTGGCACCCCGGAGCCTTAGCGGCTGGTTCGTACCGCCGGTACCCCACGGCCCTTGCAGCTGTTCGTACCGCTGGTACCCCGGAGCCTTAGCGGCTGGTTCGTACCGCTGGTCCCCCGGAGCCTTGGCAGCTGGTTCGTGCCGCTGGTACCTCACAGCCCTAGCAGCTGGTTCGTACCGCTGGTACCCCGGAGCCTTGGCAGCTGGTTCGTACCGCTGGTACCCCCGCAGCCCTAGCAGCTGGTTCGTGCCGCTGATACTCCGTAGCCCTGGCAGCTGGTTCGTGCCGCTGATACTCCGTAGCCCTAGCAGCTGGTTCGTACCGCTGGTACCCCGCAGCCCTAGCAGCTGGTTCGTACCGCTGGTACCCCGTTGCCCTGGCAGCTGGTTCGTGCCGCTGATACTTCGTAGCCTTGGCAGCTGGTTCGTACCACTGGTGCCCCGAATCCTTGGCAGCGAGACAGCCCGGCCCGTGTGACCTGTGTACTGACGTCCCCACCTCTAGTCGTCCACGCTCTGTCCAGTAGTCACGACTGACACGCATTGGGACGTGCTCCTGTGAGGTCAAGCGCACCTCGACTCAGGCCTTGGGTCCCAGGGCGGCGCTCGACTCGCTGCGCATGTCTGAGGTCCCTGGCCGCCCGCCGTAACACAGGGCTCGGCGCGAGTCAGCGCCGCTCGTCCGGCACGCCTCGGAGGGGCCTGACGTCGCGGGGCCGCGCACCATGGGACTGGCCTGCGGTGGCGTCGCTGGGGGCGGTCGCAGCTGGCCCCAGGCGCCGCGCTGGCAGCTCAGCACTCGCGCCACCGCCGCCAGTGCGGGCGTGCTCCGCTGTGGTTAGCCTGATAACCCCAACCCGAGCATTAACTTACCTATGGGCCTTGCTTACATCTATAGCGCAGTACACCAGACTGACGGACATGCAGCTGTGACAAAAGCTGTCTGCGAATCACTGCATAGCAACGCTTCCCCGCCACACATCGCCACAACCACTTGTAATGCGACTCTTCACACTTACTGCGCAGATTTGACATGGACTTTTGCCCGCGTTCCACCGCATTAAAACCGATTGCACCGTATCAACCTCGTTCTAAACCAAATAACTCAAAGACTGGTTGCGCCCTCCAACACTTACCTGTGTGTATGGCATCAGCGCGTCGACGCGGTAAACAACGCCCCCCCCCCCCCCCCCCCTGTCAACAGCTGTCGTATCTCGCCCGCAAGTCGCACAGCGTCCAGGTCCCTATCTACGCGCCATGTACCCATCCACGCGTTATCACTCGCTCAGAAACAAAAACATGGGTTCGGGCTCGGCGAAACGCTTGCGGCCGTGAAGCATATCGCTGGTCGCGAGGAAGACCGCGGGCCGAACGGATCGATTACGTCGCCTTACCAATCCGTCTGGCCATTCTTGCGTCAATTCTGGTGTTTGGTGCCAAGCCCCGTCTGTTGGACATCAGACGCACTCATTCTTTCGTGTTTGGTATTAAATGAACGTCAGATGCAGTCTCCAGCTAATATTATGGCTATTTTAGGATGCAGGTAACTATAATGGTTTGATCAATCAGACAGCAATAGCTATAGATAGCGGCTGCACATCATTTCCAATTGCTGCACTCACAGCCATTTCCATTGTTGCATTTACGACCGTTTCCATCGCTGTATTTACATTTTACAACCACCACGTCTGCATGAGCACCTGCATGCGTACAGGACACAGACATTGCGTAATTCAGAGATCCGACTAGACCAAGAACACTCCTGAACGGCGAGGGTATTCATCGCAACTGCCGTCCGCTTCGGCGTTAGATATTTGGTGTCCGAGCGAAAAATCGACTCGCGGTTCGCCGAGCGCCTTTCTGCCAGCTGCTTTAGGGCGAACTCCATATCGGTGACATGTAGAACGTCGGTGTTCAGAAATTCGAATCGGTTCGATGCCGAACCACAGACTGGCGGCACGGACGAATCGCGCAATGCCAAAATGGCGAACCCCTAATTGGCGAATTAAAAAGTGATGACGCGTGAAAAAGTTGACGTGCCGTGATGGAGGCTGCGAAATGATGCGTAAAAAGGTTGGCATGCTAAGCTGGCATACGGCTTATGTTGCTTAACTACTGAAGGGTAATGTTTGAATAAATGCCGACATTGAAAGATATCTCAGCTGACACCCTATTTAATTTATGCCATCCAACAGTGCGACGCTACCTTGTCTTTTAACCTTGAATAGGTATTTACAAATCAACCTTGATTCACGTGCTCTAACACGCGCCCGGGTGGCCGGCTCGATACCTTCGCTAGGGTGGGGGTCAAATTGACCCCCCTGAAATCTCGGGAACTAAGAAGGCTAGAGACACCAAATTTCCAGGGTGTGTCGACCTGTACGCGAACTCACTTAGGTCGGAGTTTCAGGTTCCTAGGTCATGACCTTTGGGTCCAAACGGTCAAACAAAGTCAAGTTCCAGGTTGGTCTTCGAAGTGCCCTCAGAACGTAGATAGCCGTTTCCAAGCAAAAAGTCACATTCTTATTTGAGGTCAGTGACCTTGTTTGACCCTTTGAAGGTCAAGGTGACCAAAATCATACAAGATTGTTTTGAGTTTTGCATTTGACTAAGCGACAAAGATTACGCTGGGCAGTATGATCCTAAAACAAAGTGTTGACCTAGGTCATTTTAGGTCAATGACCTATTCTGACCTCTAAGAAGTCCATGGAAGATGCACAATGCGGTTCCTGCTATCACTGAACTCGAAATGGGCACCAGAGACTATCCCATACAGCAAGCCCTTGAGTAATAAAACAGGTTGGTTTAGACCTTGGCGTGACCTTCATACCTGACCTTAGGTCAGCTTAATTTGCCCATTCAACTGTTGTGCTGTCTAAAAAAACACTCCGTTGTTGGATTAGATTGAAAGATTCCTTAGAAATTGCCTTCGCTGAAACCATGGCCTGACTTTGACCTGTCATAGGTCAGCGACCTTACAGGGCACACCTAAATTTTTGATGCCAAGCGATCCGCTATTCAATTGTCTACAGCTATGCAAAATTAGGCGGGGCTACGCCGCGCCGTTCGGAAAAAAACCTTCGGGGGGGGGGGGTCAATTTGACCTCCCCCCCATCCCAGCGCGTTACAGAGCCCGGGCTTCAACGAATACCTAGGCTTCAAACGGCACTTGCCCGAGTGTATCAGTCCCATACAGTAGCAGGTCGGCGATACTCCGTCCTTTGACCTTGAAACTTTGCGTTTTTATAACTTATTTTTAACCGCAACGACTGACCTTGAAGGCCGTCATTTTCATAACTAGGCTGACACGCATATAGGCCTCTCAGATGACTCAGATGACCAGGCACTCATATAGGCCTTATTTACCAGCCCGTGCTGCCCCGTTTTTTACCTAGACCTTCGCCGCCTAGTTTGACTTTCACTTACGAGTTTCTGGGAGCCCAGGCTGGAACTGATTACTGGTTTTCAAACGACCCTCCATTTAATGATGATAGTGCTTTACAGCGGTAGCATGACACTACCCCGTTCTTGGACCCTGAGTGTGATCCTGACCCGTTTTTTTTTTTTTTTGTTTTCACCTAGACCTTAACCGCGTAGTTTGACTTTCACTTACGGGTTTCTGGGAGCCCAGGCTGGAACTGACTTCTGGTCCTGCGATCGATCAGACGACGCCCCATTTAATGATGGTAGTGCTTTACAGCGGTAGCATGACACTACCCCGTTCTTGGATATTGAGTGTGACCCCGAAAATCTACCTGGATTCACACCTTTCCGGCAGCTGAGGCTGAAGTGGATATCTGGCTAGCGAATGACCTGGCCGCCTCCATGGTCTAGGGGAAAGATGCTCGGCTGGTAACCAGGCGGCACTGGATACGATTCCCAGAGTAGGCGTACTGCTTGACCCGACTGAAATGGAGAGGTCGGCTGGCAACTGGCCAACGAGGGTCGACCCGGGCACGGGGCAGCCGTGTCGCAGCTCTGTGCGGCAAGTAAAAACTTCCGCACTCCCGTCTGGCGCGAGGGCAGAGGTAAAATTATCTGTCGACTCGACGGCACGACTGGTGTGTTGGGGTGCACGCAGCAAGCTATGCTTGGCGGGTTTTGTAAGACCGGTGAGACCGCACCCATGCAAACTATTCAGAATAAATTTCTATAAAAAATGACGCCATATTTAGAGGCGTAACCTCCATACAACGAGAATGGGATTTCACCCCAATCTGAACTCGAAGCGTGCCCCTGAAAGGTATTTTTGCCACCCTACGCTGGAACGCACGCCTGGCTTTCATCTGGAGGCTTTCCCACACACATAGCTTTCATGTGGCGCTGCCCTCGCGCGACCTCGTTCTCGTGACAGCTGGAGGTCAAACTGCTTGAGATAGAGAAAAACACGGTTCTAAACCAGCGGGTTGTCTGATCTTGAAACCATTTTCATCGGGATTGGAACTATGCGCTGAATTCGGAAATGAATACGCCGCTGCGCCGTCTGGTCAAGACCATTTTGTCCGTCTAATGCGCTTGACCCGCATGCGCAATGCGTCGCACCGCCCATTAATGCTACAACCATTTACAGTCGCCTTTCATCAACCAACCCAACATGTCGAAGAGCCGCTAAGCACGGCACCTGGCACCCGCCGTCCCATACAACGTCCTTTACTTACGATACCCATACGCCCACTAGAGACGGCGCGCACGTCCGCCCACTGGCTATTACGGCCGCCAAAACATGAGAGCCGGACTGTTACAACGGTGTCTAGTGGGGACAGCACTCAGTGCCCGTGGTATGCGACAGGGGAACTAACGTACACAACACACATCTGTACAAATATGGTATACTTACTTCCCTGCATCGTTCACATCAAATACAGCCCCTTCACAACGCAGTTTATTGACGATACCTCCCGTTTCAGGTAGTTAAGGAATGATATGTCCGGCATGCAATTGAAAATATATTCTCAAACAGCGTTCATGATTAGGTGGCGAGCCGAGCGGTAGCGAATCACATACAAGGTAACTCCCGGATCCGCCGCGGTAAAGCTGCGATAATGCGATCCACATACAACGCGTGCGATAAAATCACCTGGCATGCACGCACCCGACAGCACGATCACGTATGGTGCATGAGTCGTCTGTTACACGACCTGAATCATTTCCACTCCTAAACAGCAGGGCAATCCACGTGTTCAGACCAGCACCGACCAGATAAGACGCGCAAGTGCAATACCAAATGGTGATCATCCAGAAAGCAACACGGCCATTTCGTCACCACGCATCAGTCCATCGTTCCTTCTGGGTGACCACACGCCCAGGCGAACCAGGCCGGCAAGGCACTGTTCGAGGCCCCCAAAGGTCCGCCTGAAAGGGACGGTCCGCAGGCGGCCTCCAACAACGAGCACGCCCGAGGACAAAACGAACGCGCCTCGGACTGGAATTAAAACCTAACCAACGGTGTTAAAGACGGCAACAAACGCCCGGTGGCCCGACATGGGACCGTAAAACTAAAACCGATTAAAACACGGCCGCTTTTTCGGCGTGGGAGGCTCAAGGTCAGCGGAAGGTCGGAGGCCGGGAGTTCGACGAAGCTCGCGGGCGCGCGGGCAATAGCCGGCGAGCCCGATAGGTGGCGCTAGTAGTCGTAAAACTCGCTGCAAAGGCAACAGGCGGCGGTGAGGCGGCGCCTTCCGGGCCCAGCGCGGCCAGACAGGCACAGGCGCAGGCGACAGGCGGCAGGCGGAGCGCGGCCCTACGTCACGCTGCTCACGATGCCAGATATCGAACGACGCCTGCTGGCGGTCCAACGGCGCAAACCCTACCGCGGCCGCTGGGAGTCATGACAGCACCCGGCTATCAGCGCTCGCTGCTCAGGTGTTGCAGTCATGCGGGGTTGGGATGGCGATGGCGCGACGCGTCACCATGCAGGCCGGCGTGCAAGGCATGCAGCTGTAAGGGTGGCCGGTCAGCGACCGCTGGGTTAGCCGGAGTTCTACAGCGCAGGTGGTATCCGGAGTTCTACAGCGCGGGTGGCATGCAGGCTGCTACAGCTCGCTGGTGTCCACCGTGAAAAGCAGGCTGCGGAGGAGCACATGCCCGGAAGCGTGTCAAGTTCGTCACACAGATACGACGCCTTCGCCCCCCCCCCCCTCCCGCAGAAGTGTTAGTGTAGCTACAATTGTAGCCATCGAAAAACTCAGAAGCGTGCAACGAAACGATAACGGGGACCCACTGACCCACCACCGCAGCCTCGTGCCGCCACTGTACGCGGATCGTCGGGCGGCCAGCACCAATGTCTTGTCTCTGGAGCCGTGTCCGCCGCCGGACCGTAGCGGGCAGCTACAGTGTGAAGTTCAGCTTGCACAGACCGCCACCAGATGTCGGGCCGGTTACCTGTTGCCGTGGAGACGGCGCGTGTTGGCCTGCCGCTGCCGGGCCAGAAAGGACGACTGGCCGCCGCTGATGTTCGAGAGACGCTGCTCCACCGCCTGGCGGTGGATCTGCGAGCCCTGGGCACACGTTCACGTGTCACAAAACCTGGCTCCGCTGGATGGCGCATCAAACCCTGCCAACGCGGCCGCGCTCCTTCCCGCGTGACGTCAACCGCTGAGGGTCGAATGGAGACAACTTCGTTCCCAACCGTGCTGTGCGGTTTAGATCACTGGGTTCAGTGCAGGCTTCGGGCTAGTTCGCGACGAACTCACGAAGTTGTAGAAGGCGGTGGTGATGAGCCGCTCCTCGGCCTCGCGGATCGACTTCGCCTTCTCGCTCTCCTTTTCCATCACCTCCAGCAGGCGGTCCTTCTCGGCCAGCTGCGACGGCGCCGCGACACATCAAACACAATCCAACAGTATTAACAGCTTACCCAACATGATAAACTTTCGTCTTACAGTACCAAGTAAACGACCCATTGTGAACACCACCCACACTTCAAATGGGAGTGCAGCGTAGCAACATGGGACGCATCCCGTGCCCGCCCGTCGCCCCAGACCCCTCCAGAGGGCCGCCGAGCCGACCGACGCCGGCTGCTGCCCCGCCGGCGGCGAGCCGCAGCACACCGCTGACCTGATGACGCAGTACGGACACGTCAGGGGAGCTGGCCGAGCCGGCCGTCTTCGGGTCGAGCGAGCGGATCACCGACTTGGCCTTCTCCAGGTACTTCTTGTAGCGCTCCTCCATGGCGGCCATCTCGGCGTCGCGGCGGGACAGCTGCTCCTGCTGCTCCTGCGTGCGAGCCGCTGCCGGCGGCGCGGGCCGGCGTCAGCGCGGGCCGACTCCGGTGCGGCGGCGAGGGGGCGAGACAGACACAGGCAGCAGCCCGCCGAGATGTAGCGGACAGGGATTGAGGTGAGACCAGTCAACTGGCGTCCGTACTAGCTGCGCTCGCACTCCTATCGACACTCCAGTTCATACCAGAGACAGTACTGGACACACAAGGGTACTCATGAGCCAACAGAGCATGCACCAACGCGATGCAGCGCGGGGAGCCGCCGGAGCGGGCTGCCGACACAGGCGACAATTCGAACAAGTCAGGTCGGCCGCTTGGTAGGACCTGGCGGACCCACTCACCCTGCTCGGCCAGCCGGATCTCCATCTCGCCGATCTGCATCGTCTTGTTCTGCAGCTCCTGCTCGAGCGAGTACAGGCGGCTGGTGGAGGGGGCCGCGCGCTCCGAGCCGCCGCCCTCCTCCAGGTGCGACTGCAGCTCCAGGATGCGCTGGTTCAGCCGCCTGTGGTGCCGACCGGCGGCGAGAAAGCGAAGCTGAGATACGCGTGGTGGCCGCGGGATACATGTGGCGCGGCGGTCGGCGGCGCGCACCGTCCCGCCGCTCGCCGGGTGGAGCCGGCGGCGACGGGGCGAGGCGACAGCCCAGCCGACCCCCGAAGCCGCAGCACAGACGAGCCGGAGCCCCGGCCGTCGACGCTCGGCGCCGAGCGACGGTGGCCGGCACGTCGGCGTGCGCACGCCCCACGTGACCGGGGACCCGCCCTGGCCGGGCGCCATGGCCGGGCGGGCCGCAGACCACGTGACGCGCGGGCGCGCCGCCGGGAACAGACAGACGGCGACACGGACAGAGTCCCGTCCCGCCCCGCCCCCCGTCCCCCACCGAGAGCTCTCGCCGGGAGGAGAGGAGAGAGACAGAGGAGGGGCGCTCCTGGACCGGGCGGCGGGCGTCTCAACCGAACAGCCGAAAAGGTACTTACATGGTGCACAAGGAAGAGCCGAGTGTCGCACGCTCCGAGGTGAGCTGCAGGGGTGCGTGAGTAGCGAGCAACAGGAGAGACAAGGAGCGACACAAGAGGACAGAGAAGAGCCGCCGCCATCCAACCCACCACCGTTTACCTGCAGCGCGTCTCAGACAGCGGAAGGTCGAGAAACGCCGGTTTAATTCGCTGCCCCGCCCGGTTAGTGGCCGCGCGCCGTCCTGCGTCGCCGCGTCGTGTCGTCGCGTCCGGTCGGGTCAGGTCAGGTCAGGTCGGGTCGGGCCAGGTGGCGTCCCCGTCCATCGCCGCGCTACTGTGGACACATCTGAAAGCGAGCGCCGCGCCGCAAGCAAGCCCCGGCGGGCTGACCATGCTCTCGGGGCCGGGTCGGCCGGTGGCGAGCAGAAACACACGGCCGGCTGGCAGGTGCGTATATTCTCTCGCTCTCTCCGGAGACGGCGGCGGCGGCAGTCGGTGGCGCGGAGCGCTGTCCTGTCCGGGCGTGCTGCGCTGGGCAGGGCGGCCGGGCGGGTGCGGAGCCGGACGGCCCCTCCGTGGTCCGCCTACAGCTTCGAGGCCGGCCAGTACCGGCACACGCGAGCCCGCGGTGACCCCGCCACGGGCGACCGCAGCCGAGGTCCCATGTCCACCAACCGCACTCGTGTCAGAAGAGACTCTTCGTGGATATCACCCGGCTCGGTGGGTTGGTGCGGCTCGGGCCGAGCGGACCACAGAGGGGTCGTGCACACGCTCTCGCACCCGCCGCGCTGCCGGGGTCTACTTCTGAACGCTCGATAACGGAGACAGTGCTCAAGAAAGGCGTCGTGATTTGACCCCACCGACCTCATCATGTAGCGGGTTGTCCGCTTTCGTGTGAAAGAAGAGTGTGGGACAGAAGTAGAAGCCACAGCATGCCCAGACACAACAACCTTCCGTGTCTTTATGACATAAAGCTCACAGTCGCTCACGCACACTACAATGTACTAAGGCAGTGAATAATAAATGAGAGATTCGAAGCAAGATCATATCATTCAGGTGCAACCAATCGCAAAGGTGAACTAGCTACTTAAATGTCGTTCATCTAGCACCTTAAAGTTGCAAAACACAAAACACAAGTTGCATTTAAAGCAAAGGCGCATGCTACCAAGATCTAATCAAACGTAAAACTACAGACCAAACAAGAAAACGACAAAATGCCCTCCCATCCGACAATATTGGGACCAGACAGCGCCACCAAGCAGCCAAGCACCGCGCGCCCTCCTCCCGCTGGCTACCAAGACGTGCGACGTTCGCCGCCGACTGCCTAACGCAAGCAACGCAAACAAAACCTCAGCACGCGTGCCGCCGTCCGGCGTGCCGGCGTCAAACCCGGCGCGGCAGACATCCGTGAAAGACAAGCAGACGCGAGCCGACGCGGCGCGAGGGGCCGGGTCCGACGAGGTGAGCTCCGGTGGCAGCTCCCCGCCGCGGTCAACCCTCGCCGGCTGCCGGGCGGCCAGGCCGGGGCCTGGCCAGCCGGCAGGGCACGTACGTCTGCGTCCTCCGCGCGTGTGGCGTCGCGTGAGCTAGCGCGGCGGCGAGCTCACGGAGCGGCAACATGGCGAAGGTGGCGCCCACCAGGGTCACCGTGTCCATCAGCTTGCTGCGCCGTTTTCTTCGACTTGGAGCGCGAGCGCGAGCGCCGCGGGCCGGCGGAAGCTGCTGCGAAGCGCCACGCGCCATGGCCGGCTGCGCCTCGTCCAGCTCGTCCTCTCCTTCTCCGTCGGGCGCGGGCGTCGCGCGGCGGCGAGCGCTCGGCCAGCGGCGCCAGCCGCGCCGCCGGCGAGAACGCCCGAAACACCTCCGGGTGGAACTCCTCGGCGGACGCCAGCGACGGCGTGCGCGGCTGCCGACGGCCCGAGTCCTTGCTCGGCGGTGGTGACGTACAGCGGCTCATCCAGCAGCGAGCCGGACGAGTCGCTGGCCGCCGGGCGGTCGAGGCCGGCGGCGGGCGTACAGGCCGTCCGTAGCAGCCGAATAAACGACATGCGTCGCTCCAGGTACTTGTCGCTGCGCTCCGTCACGCCCGTTATCGTGGTGGTGCCCGAGCCACACTCGATGTCCATCAGGCGCGCCGCGTCCAGCGTCGTGCGCCGTGACGAGCAGCCGCAGCCCGAGTCCGAGCGAGTCCTCCTTGCGCGCGGGCACCTTCAGTTGGCGTTGGCGCTGCGCGCCCGGCCACCGCTCCTGCTTGTACTTGACGCTTGCCTGTCGCGTGAAGCGCTGCGGGCCGCGCGACGGACGCCACGCTCGCGTCGTCGCGCGACGAGGCCAACGCTGGCCGCGTCGTCGGCCGGCGGCGGCAGCAGCAGCGGCAGGCGGCCGGCGCGGCTGGGGGGGCGGCGGCCGGCAGCAGCTCGCGGTTGACGTGGCCATGTACTTGAAGCCGGCGGATGTACTCCTCGGTGTACGCTTGCTGACGGCGAGCGCTGCGGCCGGCCGTGCGTGCAGCCGGGGCCGCACGTCACAACCGGCGAGTGGCGCTGCGGCGTGCCCGCCGCCGACACCAGCTGGTCCACGTACTCGCGCAGCAGCGCGTTCGGGCCTCAGCCGCACGCCGCGTGTCGGTCGGGCTCGGCCGGCGCAGCTCGATCGGCTCCGGCGACGTGCACAGCTTAATCTCGTGAATGTGTCGGATGGTGACTGGTCAGTGAGAGGCGCCGACGACGGCGGCGGCCCGGCGGCCGGGTGGAGGGGGCGGCCGCGCCCGCGCGTGCCGCGTGCGCCGCCGGCCGCCGCGAGCGACGGGCGGCGCCGGACGCGCACTGGGTTTGCCCTCCCGCCCGCTCCGCCGCCGGGTCGGGCCGCAGCGCGCCAGCAGCTGAGTGTCGGACCGCCCACCTGTTTCTCAGCCTCAGCGAGGTCTCGCGCGCGCGCAGGTCGTCCAGCAGCGCGCGGTACGCCTCCTCCTGGTCCTGGCGACCGCCGTCCACGCGGGCGCGCAGCTGCCGGTTCTCGTGCTGCAGCCGGAGCAGCTTCTCCCTGCGGGCGGGGAGAGGCGGCGGCGCCGCTGCAGGGAGCTCGACGCGGCAGGGCGATGCCAGGCCTCGCGCGGAGAGAGCCGAGCGGCTCTCAAGGTAGGCACAGGGAGGAACAGGCTCACTCACGGGCTCATCTCAACACTGCCGCGACACGGACGGGGATGGTACTCACGCTAACACACTTGCCTCAGACAAGGGCTGATCCGTCACCCCCACACGACCACCAGAGGCTCACACGGCTCACGGGAGGCAGAGGCGTCACACGTAATAGTTACCGCGGGGATGCGTGGTACGCTGGAAGTAAGTACAGTCGTCGCATTTACACACTCGCTCACTGGACCGGCTCAAGGACTGAATCGGGCCCGCCAATGAGCAGTATCGTCGGACAACAACAAACAATGCGAAGCTCATGGATGAATAACTTCGAACTGACACAAAAACACACCGCTTGAATCACATCAAACTTGAAGAGCTGGCTCAAAACCAGGCAGCCAGCCAATGATCGCGACAAAAAACAAGCCAACAAGCGCGTGCACAAGGGAGCATCAACCAGGCGGGCGGGACAAACACACGAATGAGGCGACTGGACCCTGGAGCGAGCGCAAAACACTGCACTTAGCAGTGATTTCGAAAGCCAACCGACATGCACGTCGCCCACACGCATGCACACGCACATACAAGCAAGGGCACGACGCGTCCGCGGCCGCGCGCACGTCACCCACCCTGAGAAGAACTCTGATGGCAAGTCAGCCGTTTCTGCGTACGCACCGACGGCGGCTAGACCGCTTGCTACACGCCGGATGGCTCGATCCGCATGACAAAGGACACTCGCTCCCCCTGCCGCTTGAGGACCCCCGGCAAATCAGAGTCCGTCTCCAGTGATTCACACGCCACGGCTGGATGCGGCGGACATGTACTGTAACGCGCCAACGATCGCGAGCCTGTTATCAGCGAGCGCTCGGACGGCGGCAAGTCTCCGCTCGTCAAGGACAGCCCGCAAAAAGGGCGGCTTCGATGACAATCTTGCCCAAAAGCACGGCCGTTTAAAATCGCGGCCCGGACAACGGGGACATTAGCTCATGGGGAAAAGACATGGTGCGAACGGAGACAATACCGCCCACGTTCCGGGCTCTGTATAGATCGATAACATGCTTCCGCGTCGAGCGGCCGGGACAAATGCCAGCTCCAGCGGTTGACGGCTGCCGCCGCCCCGTCAGAGCCAATGTACCCTAACGAGTCGGGCTCGACCGGTCTCGGGGAGGACACTCCGCCCTCCGAGTCCGTGGAGGCCAGGACACACTCACGTGAACTCGACGTGGCGCCGCCTCCGTCCGATCACATCGAGCCAGGAGGAGCACGGACGCATCAGCCGGGGGTGCTGCGTCTCACTCGAACACTACCACCCACACTCACACTCAAACCCACCCCAGGGTAAACACCTACTGCAGTCCACGGGACGTCGCCCAGGTTAAGCCATATCAGCCCGTGGAGAACAGCACATATCCCCTGCATCAATGTGCTGCCCCCCCCCCCCCCCCTCCCTCCACCCCACTCCCGAGATGTCACCCGAGGGCATCACTTCGACACATGCTTCCCTGCAACGACAGGCGCCTTATTCCGGCCCTGCAGCGGTCAGGTAAGTCCGAGTCCGGGACACAGCCGTCGAGGTTTCCGGCCGGCACAGAGCGCCGCCGGAGCCAGCTGCGGCCAGCGCCGCCATACTCACTTGACGTCGGTGGGGATATGCTCCAACGCGCCCACGTCGGAGGGCGAGCCGGTCGGCCAGCCGGGCGCCCAGCGGCGACGGCGCGCGCTCAGCTGCAGCTGCGCCAGCTTCAGCTCGTCGTTGACCTCGCGCAGCTTGTCGCGCTCCTCCGTCAGCCGCTGCCGGGGGGCGGAGGCGGCGGCAGGTCAGGGGGGGCGGCACAGACCGCACACGACCGAGGCCGACACAACAGCAGCACGCCACCGCCGGCACAGCGCGGCCACTCGTCCCGCCGTGGCAGAGCGGCCTGGCACGGCCGTCGCCACAGCGCACAGCATCGCACGCTGCCGGAGTCACACCATCTCCCAGTGAATGTCTCGCTCTTTTCTCTCTGAGCGATGGCGAGACCCAGCCGAATTCAAGCGGCTGGCGTACGCGACTTCCCGGCTCTACAGTCCTCACGGGTCAGTGCGGCCGCCGACCTCACGCGCCTCTCATGCGCACGACCACCCACCACCGCTGCCCCTCCCCGTGCCGGAAGCTGGATCGTGAGGCGGCCCGCCACCGGCCCTCCCCTCTCATGATCTACGCCCGGCAGCGGCCGTCTCCTCAAAGCGCATCCGCGACATTAACTCGGCTTCGCTGCGGCCGGGTCGTAACGTGGCGATAAATGGCAGGGCGCAGCCGGCCGGCCGCCCGGGCGCGCGCGCGACCGAGGATGGCGGCCGACGCAGGGCACCCGGCCGTGCGAGATCGCCGCGCGTCTCCGGCGGCCGCGCGCACTCATTCAAGCTCCGCGCGTCCTGGGGCGACGTCCGCTGCAGGATGAAAGGCTGGGAGCCTGATGGAGGGGCGATAGGGCGGCCACGCACCGGGCCGGAGCGCCCCGCGTGCAGCGGCGGCGGCGCGATCGGCGCGGTCGGCCGCACGCGAATAGGGTCATCGTCACCCGCCGCCGCCGAGCCGGCCGCGTCGCATACCGAAGCAGCCGACAAAACACGGCGGGCGCCGGCCGACCCGACGGGCCGCGAGCGCGGGCAGGCGCGGCCCGGATGGCCCGGGGGAGCGCGCCCAAATGCTGACGCGCTGGCCGTGGCGATGGTTGGGAGTTCGGGGCACGACGGCCGGTGTCGGACTACCGACAACAGTATCGCGTCGGCACTAACAGTTCAAGCAGGCCGTCCGCTCCGAACAGTCGGCGCGCATATCGACAGGATAACCAGCCGGCTCTCCCGGCGCCGGCGACCAGCCGGCGCCGGGTCGGGACCAGCTATCGGCTCTCCCCTGACCAGCCGGCGCACATCGCACCCGCCACAGAGCTATCGGCTCTCCCCTGACCAGCCGGCGCACATCGCACCCGCCACAGAGCTATCGGCTCTCCCCTTGACCAGCCGGCGCACATCGCACCCGCCACAGAGCTATCGGCTCTCCACTGACCAGCCGGCGCACATCGCACCCGCCACAGAGCTATCGGCTCTCCCCTGACCAGCCGGCGCACATCGCACCCGCCACAGAGCTATCGGCTCTCCCCTGACCAGCCGGCGCACATCGCACCCGCCACAGAGCTATCGGCTCTCCCCTGACCAGCCGGCGCACATCGCACCCGCCACAGAGCTATCGGCTCTCCCCTGACCAGCCGGCGCACATCGCACCCGCCACAGAGCTATCGGCTCTCCCCTGACCAGCCGGCGCACATCGCACCCGCCACAGAGCTATCGGCTCTCCCCTGACCAGCCGGCGCACATCGCACCCGCCACAGAGCTATCGGCTCTCCCCTGACCAGCCGGCGCACATCGCACCCGCCACAGAGCTATCGGCTCTCCCCTGACCAGCCGGCGCACATCGCACCCGCCACAGAGCTATCGGCTCTCCCCTGACCAGCCGGCGCACATCGCACCCGCCACAGAGCTATCGGCTCTCCCCTGACCAGCCGGCGCACATCGCACCCGCCACAGAGCTATCGGCTCTCCCCTGACCAGCCGGCGCACATCGCACCCGCCACAGAGCTATCGGCTCTCCCTGACCAGCCGGCGCACATCGCACCCGCCACAGAGCTATCGGCTCTCCCCTGACCAGCCGGCGCACATCGCACCCGCCACAGAGCTATCGGCTCTCCCCTGACCAGCCGGCGCACATCGCACCCGCCACAGAGCTATCGGCTCTCCCCTGACCAGCCGGCGCACATCGCACCCGCCACAGAGCTATCGGCTCTCCCTTGACCAGCCGGCGCACATCGCACCCGCCACAGAGCTCACGCCTTCGCCCCACCACAAGACGTGGCCCAGCGCTCCGGTGCCGGCCAGGGCGGCCCACCACCCCCGTCCCGGCCCTCTGCGTCCCCGCGAGGAGACCGACCTCCTTCTCGCTCTGCAGGGCGGCCATCTTCTCGGCCAGCTTGCGCAGGTCGAACTCGGCCTTGTCGCGCTTCTTGGTCTCCTCGGCCAGCTGGTCGTGCAGCTCGCCCACTTGTTTCTTGTAGAGGTCCAGCTGCGGTCGGTAGCTGCCCGACTTCTTCAGCTCCTGCGGAGCGCGCCAGGCACGGCGGGTCAGGCGGACCGGGCCGGGCGCGGCTGGTAACGCCAACGCCGGACAAGGCGCACGCCACATCACGCAGCTCTTTCTAGGAAACGCTCTCGCGCTGGTGATAATTGCATACGGTATACGGCGTTCTTAGACTGGATTACGGGGAGCTGACGTGGTGATTGCTCAGCGACGCGATTACCGAAGCTCAGTTGCAAGGAAGAGGCCCTAGCATTACGCAGTGGCACGCTCGAGATGACGGACCATAAGCGGCGCAGCGCACCGGTCCGAGTTCACCAGACAGACTCATTCGGAGGCTACGAACCTCCTCCAGCTCCATGTTCTGCTGCATGTAGTCGGTGTTCTTCTCCTCGAGCAGCTTGATCTGCCGACGCAGGTCGCCCATCTCCTGCAGCCGCTTCTGGTAGGTGTCCAGCTTGGCCTCGTACTGCGGCACCTTGGACGCCAGGTCGCGCAGGATCTCCAGCTCATCCTGCCGGCGGCACGCCCGTGGTTAGCAGGGAAGCCCAGAGTCGGAGCCAGCGGCCCAGACGCTCCGCTCGGCGCGCGGCATTACACTGTCACTATCATGCAATTTAGGTAGCCCGCAACCGCATCGGTGCAAAAAGTCGGGGACAGGAAAGCCCGACGGCAGATTGAAGGATGCGATTACATATCGACATACCGTGGGCGCAATCATGCCGGAGACAACGCGCCTGATTTTATCTGACACAAACATGACAAACGTACACGACGGCCAGATGCATCTCATCACGAAGCACAACGAGCAGCCACCAGCGGGCGACAGCGGAGACATCACCGGCTACGTTCACTCGCCCCAAAAGCGGGCGAGGAGGGGCGGCGTGAAGCCCCGCCCGCGGGACGGACGGCCCGCCCACTGACCCGGAGTCGGCGCGTCTCGTCCGCCATGCGCTGGAGCTCCTCGTTCTTGGTCTGCGTCTCCCGCAGGTCCTTCTCCACCACGTCGCACCTGCTGCGCAGCTCCTCCCGCGTGGCCTCCAGCTGCCGGGCGGGGACACGCGGCGTCACCCAAGTGACACCCGTCAGTCGCCCCACCGGTGTCACCCCAGTGACGTCACACATCGCGTCGACTGTCGGCAGCGGCCGCGCCACCCCCGGCAGAGTACGCCATCGCGGGGGGGGGGGACAGCCTTTGGATCGGTTATTGGCGCGGGCAAGCGTTCTGGTGGTTGGCGTGGTGCCGCGTGAAATGTTCGCGGCGCTCTGGGTGGTGAAATGTTCTCGCAGCACGCTAGGTTTAAACACGGGTCTCCCGATGAAAGTCCACAGTTCGAGCACCGAGGACGGACGGGGCGCATTGGAGACTTGATCGAGAAGCCTGACTGACGGACTGCAATCAGATGCCAACTCCGCCCGATAGGCACAGCACGCCCCGCCCGACCAAACCGGGCGAACGGGCTCCGGAGAGCGGACGAAATGCAGACGTGAGTCCCCGTACGTGACAGCCGGCAGCGCTGCTACGGCGCCCCATTTATCGGGATTTCCCTGTCAAGGCGACACAAAGCCTGCAACGTTTGCGTCTAGGAGATCTCGCTGCTGCAGCCTGACAGCTCTGATTCCTCGACGAGGCAGTCCGGAGCCACGTGCCGGGTCAAGCGGGCCCTCGGCAGGACAGATGGCCCGCGAACGACCCGGACCGGCCGGTGACCAGCCCGGCCGCGCCCGGCCAGGTCAGGCTGGGGCGGAGTCGGCTCGCGGGCCGGGCCGGCGGAGCGGCCGGGACCAGTCCATCGGAATCAGTCCACCAGAGCCCGGCCACGCCCGGCCATGTCAGGCTGGGGCGGAGTCCGCTTCAGGACCGGGCCAGCGGAGCGGCCGGGACCAGTCCATCGGAATCAGTCCACCAGAGCCCGTCCACATGCGTCAAGTCGGGCGGCGTCAGGCAAGCAGGACTGAAGGAAGTGCTCCACATTTGTACGGGGTTTTGGACCGACACAGCCATTTTGAAGATTATTCGGTACAGTTCACAGCCCCTCTTAAAACCTCAACCCTTCTAATTTCTGAGTCATGCGCCCGCGGATATGTGCACACAATTTTGATGTGACTATTTCCAGGTCTCCCTTGCGCTCATGACGCCACAATGACGTCATTCAAATCCTGCCATTCCAATGGCCGCGCGGCGATCAAGGCCAAAAAATGTGTTTATTGGGTTGTTCACACCTGGCGTTCACGACACGATTTCTAGATAACGGCCGTCAGCTGGCTCTCAATCCGTGTTGTGCAAGCTACGATGGCGTAACCAAACAATGACGTATTGAGGCGCATATTTACTTAACAACGAAACCATGGAGTCTAGGGCAGCCTGTTCCACTCAAAACTCCACCAACAGTTACAAGTGAGCTTATTGCATCACGTCTGACGCTTGCTTCGATGTCTTCAAATGTGGAGCATCCCCTTTGAGGCGGGATCGGGTCTGGTTGAGTCAGCTTACGGTAGCAGTCAGTCCGTCAGTCCGGGCTCCTCGCATAAAACGAGCCCGGCGTGTCGGTGCCCTGCCCACAGACGGCACCACACCGCGCCGCCTCGGGCCGCCCGGGTCGTACCTTGTAGATCTCCTCATCGGCGGCGGCCAGCTTCTCGCGCAGCTGCTTGTAGCGCTGCCGCTGCTCGGGGCCCTCGCCGCCGGTCGATGCGTCGGTCCGGCAGCTCCTGCTGCAGCCGCAGCCGCTCCTGCAGCTTCTGGTTCTCGGCCCGCAGCATCGACTTCTCGTCCTGCAGCATCACGATCTGCCGGCGGCGGGCGACAGAGGTCAGGCTGAGGTCACCCGCGGGACACCAGTCACAAGGATCGGCGCTGTACGTATGCGCGCGTGCCGCCTTCCCCAGGCGCACACGCACAGCCGGCAGCGCCATTCCCTCGAGATATCCGAGCCGCCGTGCTGGCTGCGCTTTGCAGCGTCCACGTCTCGCCGCGGACCAGCGGCGCGGACGACTGGTTGACCACATCAGTCACATATCCATATCAGTCATATGCGTCGTAAAACCGTCAACGGAAGGGATTATGCTGGAGTTCCGCATTGTCCGCAGTACTGGCACCGCTCCTCACGCAGACGTGAACCCGCCCGGAAACAAACAACTGGTGGCGGTTCGCAACGCATGCTGATGATGCGGCGGCCGCGTGGCTTGACGGACTAAGTATTTTAGTCAATTTCGGAAGTCAACAAGTAGACGTAGAGGCCATACACTTGGAGGACTGCGGGTTAAACGCTGGTCATTACGCCGACAGTCGCAGATGCGATGCCGAAGTTACTAAATATGGGCGACTGATTTAGCATGCAAAAAAGCTAATATCTCGCTCTTAATGACGGTCAACACACCCGAAAACAAACAGCATCGAACTCGGCATATATCAGCACCTGCGCGTTCCAGCGCCAGACCACGGCCAGACCGGTCGGAGGACCTGCCGCCGTCCACGTGCGGACGTGGCGCACGCGAGGGTCACCGGCCGGCGCGGCGCCCGTGCCGCCGCGCCCGCCCGCTTTTTACTGACATCAAAGCACGGCGACCTGAGCCGGACCGCACGGCGCCGGCCGGCGGCCGTCGCGGAGGCGACCTCCCCTTTCAGAGCCGCCGCGCTCGGCGGCCGCGTGCCGTGATCGAATCGTCAGTCCAAACTGGGAGCGCGCACGCAGCGGAGACGCCAGATGCAGATACTGCGTAGTGCTGCGCGAGACAAGACATCAAGATCCGGCATGGACGCCGAGACAGCGCGGCCGGCCAGCTGTGGCGTTGCACAATGGGACGCCGCGTTTTTGGCTGACCACGTCACCACACGGTGACCTTCTACGGCGGCGGTCGAGCGCCGCGACACGGCTTCGGTCCACGCGGGCGGCCGGTCGCGTTTCGCGATGCCTTCTAAGCGCGCGTCGCACGCGGCAAGAAAGGGGCGGCCGGGCTGGGGCCATCTTCTAGGGCCATCTCAGGCCGCGGCTAGCACGCATGCCGTGCAGACTCGGTTCTTCGAGCTCGTAATCCGCCGAAAGCGATGATGGAGGGGGGGGGGGGGCGCAGGTGGCAGCCACCAGCTTGCAGGGAGGGAGGGGGGGGGGGGGCTGACTATCTCTCCGAGCTGGATCAGGTCAAGCACGTCCGGGAGCTATCGCGGACCCGGACGGGCCGGCGGGCCCCGCGGTGCCATACGCGCAGCACTTGGCCGACTCGGGACGCGCAGCGGCCGCCCGCCCGCCTGCGCGCCTGAGTCCACCGGCGATCTTGCCGGACGTCCCCGGGGAAGCGCGCTCCACCCCGTGAGCGGGCCGCCCGCGCTGGTCGGAGGACCCCTGGCCCGTCCGACACCTGGCCCGCCGAGGCCCCCTCTTAAGCCGCCGCCGGTGGCTCCCGTTCGAGGAAAGCTCTCAGGCGGACGGAGCGGAGCACGCAGCCACCCCGCCCCGTCGGCTGCAGCCACGCCTCTGCGCCGGGCCGGCTCCGCCCCAAGGCCCCCACGACAGGCCGCTGCTGGCCGAGGGAGGGGCCGAGGGCCGTCCCGTGGCCGCTCTCACAGCAAGCAGCGCACACGCCGGGTCTCCGGAGCCCGCCGCCCGGCCCGCCAGCGTTTTTACTGGCGGCCCCGGTGTCAGCACGCCCGCCCCCGACCGCCTTGCGCCACA